AAACGCCGACGTCGGCACGAAAACGAAAGTGCCGACGAAGCCGACGGGGAAAAAAGGGGTCGCTGGCAGTCGGCCAGGCCTCGCACTACGCACATTGACTGATACAGGTGGGCCTAGCGATAGCATCGGCCAGTTCGCGGGTCGGGTCGCGATTGTCGGATTTCAGACGATTGTCGGCAAACATGCAGGTCTATTAATATTTTTTCCACCACAAGGAAGGCAAATGAACAGCCTTTAAGATGATACCGATAAACCCATATGACCAAAAATTAAAAACCTCTACAAGCAAAAAGTATATAGACATACATTTTCCCAAAAAATGAATACATTCTCATTTATCAAAAAGGCGTTCACGGCTAAATCCTTCATATAGTCGAAGGCAACTACATGTCTTACCTGAACTAAATCAGGATGAACATCTGTTTGGCCTGTTAAGAGATTAACAGTCGTGTGGAAACGTCTCTTTTTGAATTTGTTTAACCCTGCCAATCAGAAGTAAAAGCAGTTTATCAATTGGAATTTCTTTGTCCGCACATACCTAGGAACATTGTCAGCACCAGCCAACCTAGAAATTACTGGAAAAGGGGCAGTATCAAAAACAATTATTCTAACTTAAGTTCCATAAAAATGATTAAGTTATTCTTTTAAAATGGAAAAAACATCAATGATATTAGCATACGTTCTCGAAAATTGAGGAAAAAAAGGCCTCTTTGGAATTAAAAGTAACAGAAAATTGTCTGGGCTTGACAGAACACGGGGAAAGCTGCAGGTGCAATAGACAGCAGAAAATAATTTTCAATTATGTAAGCAAACCCCCCCCCAATTCATAGAATCTCAGAACCTTCTTTCCATAAGGAAGTACTGTCGTAGGTCATTCCATTTCATCCATTTATCTACACAAGTTACAAGAAAGTGACTTTGTAAAATCAATTGCCATTCTTATTTATCGCAAAGTAAGGACCACTTGTTCATGAACATACACTACTAGAAAGCACTCAACCACTTCTTACTTTTAGATCGATATGCTGTGTATTTCTTTGAATACAGCTTTGAAGCTCTGTCTGTAGGATCAGGTGATTTCCCTTCCTTCACAAAGTACACATGGATAAAGAGTGAACCATTGTTTTGAACAGTCTGTGGAATAGGAAAATATGCATCGCATTTTTTTAAAAACCGACACAAACACCAAACCATCTTGACAAGTGCTAAACATAATAATGGGAGAAGGAAACTAGAAAGGTTTCTTTTTCCAAAATGTGTAAACAGGATCAGTATCATAACACAACTTAATTGAGGAGAATTTTTATTGTTAAGAAATATCGTCAATCTTAGTAAAACTAACTTTCAAAAACATCCTCACTATGTCTTCTCCTTCCTAAACCACATAAACTAAGCAATTTTGGTACAAACACAAGAAACAATTTGTTAACAGAAATTTTTCTTCAGCATTAGGCTACCCTAAATCCTGATAATTCCAACAGTAGCACAAACACTACATCTAAGAGGGTGATTCTTTTAAAAAAATAGAAAAGATATTTAACAAAACGCTTGAAATTAATTTACATTTTTTCAGTTACTTTCAAAAACCTATAAAATACACAGTGAGTTCAAAGTTGCCATGAAAAAGGAGACACACATTTAAAAATAATACCTCAGAAGCTTCAATCTTTCCAGATTTCTCAAAGGATCCATCATTGTTGTCACCACTTGTCCAGTCTCCGTAGATCAACCCTTGCTCAAACCAAAATAGCGCTTTTTCGTTTTTGAAGTCTGTAAATTCTTCTTGTTCAGACACATACACGTACATATCCTTGAGGGGGGGAAAAATGCATTTTTTATTATCTAAATGCATGTGTCTATTTCATTTTTACACTGCAGCAACTTCCGTTATGAAAAATAATATAAGAAAAATAATTTTTATGATATAATTGAAATAGAAGTAATAGGAAAGGCAACAAATACCAACTTTATTTTTTCTTCTTTATCATCATCATGAACATTCACACGCACAAGTTTTTCACAAAAATATTGGACGACTCTCAATATAACAATTGTACAGAAAAATCTTGAAATAAATGATGAATCCTTTTCCAATTGAGAAAAAGTTATACTTCATTATAAATCTATATTTTTCAGTCAATACTTAGACATTATAATAAGTGTTATTCAGTGACAGGAACAAATATATCTGACAAACAGAAGTATAGCAAAGGAATTGGGTCTGGAGTTTCAGTTCCACTTCACGGTAAAACTTAAATACCGCTCTCTCTTTGTAGAACCTTTAGATTCTTAAACAAGCAACGAAGTATTTCAAAGAAATCAATTACCATATTCGTAAACTTGTCAAACACATTAGAAGATGGTCTTGCTGCTGGGCTAGGTTTTCCATCAGCCCCAGTTGTCTGTGCTGGTTGAGGATTTCTTCGGAATAAGCTTGCGATGAAGTAGATAAATACCATACGTACAACCAGGGTTTTGATCATTGCCCATCCATTAGGTCTAGCTTGTTGCTGCTGCTGCTGAAAAACAAGTTGGTAAATTAGTCAATTGTAAATTGAAGTCTGCTACAGCAAATGACTCATGTCATATCATGTAGGTGTTTTTATTGCAAAATAAAGGGAATTGTTTTCTTTTACACAACATTCATTTTTCAAATGGTCTCCTTTTATAAGGACAAAGGCACTGCATCAATGCTGTCTACCCCTTCAATTTGTAACACATTAAGGAAAAGGTCCCAAATGCATTGACGGAACCATTATTAAATAGAATGATAACCAACAGTTGAGAGAACCCTTTGAACAAAAGACCATGTCTTCCGGCAATTCATGCAGTACAGTATGAGTAGGATCATGGTTAAATTAGGTGCTTGGCAAAATGAGCAAATCGAAGATATCTGCACTTTCCCGCCAGTTTGGCAATTTTAATCCACTTTTTGTTTTTTGGCTCAACATTCTTTTTATGTCTATTTCTTTGCGTGCATTTTACTTAAAATGACTAAAAGTACAAAAATGTAAAATTTCTGTTTTCAAGGACTCTTTTATGCTATGGAATCACCAAACTTTGACGGCCATTTTCTCATTAACTTTTCTCTGAAACCAGGCGACCCCACCATCTCCTTCAACAGGGGTTGGTGATTTAAAAAATTTTTTAAAGAAGAATTTAAAAAATCGATTTAAAAAAATTTCAATCAGATTTTTTTTTTGACTTTTAAAAAAATGTCGACAGTTTGGAATTTTAGTGGCTAAAGTATGTTCTTTTAGTACAAAATGCATTGTTTTTATTAACTACAGCCTTCTTTGTTGTAGAAAAAGGTAAAATTGAAGATTAGCAGACCACCTGGCACCTGCATGTTATGAGCTGTGTAAAAAAAAAAGACAGATTAATTCAAATACACAAGCCTGTGTCATCTCGATTGTTTACCAAGAAAAAGTTGTGTTGCTGTGTAGAGCTGAGCATACGCCAACTTTTGATTCCATAGGGAAGTGGCTATTCTCACCCGGGGTGAGAATAAAAATACGATCTACCTCTCACCCAAGGTGAAACTTGCCAGCGTAGGCTATTCTCACCCAGTGTGAAACAAAACCTGTTTTTCCTCATTTTTTGGAATACTGTCTATCGGTGTGGATGATCAAATTGATAAAAGCCAAGAAAAAATTAGGTTATAGCACAAAAGTAAGCTAATTTCAGAGATGCCAACCACAGAAAACCGAAATGAGTATTGGGAAATATGAAAATGTGTATTTTCAGGGGAAAATGTGTATTCCCCACGACCGACTAGTAATAGTAAAATGTTAAAGGGGTTCAGCAATATTTCCTGAAAAAAAATTACTAGCTCACCAGCTCGAAAAAGGGAGCACACACGCGTACAATATACATGTATCCAGTCAACAACATGTCAGTGTTCAGTGTCGTACTGGGGTCTTGTTTGACTTAAATATTGCAGTCTATTATACCGCTAATATTTTCCTCTCATTATTATGTAAAAAATAAATCCTGCTTTGAGAGTTCGGAAGAGCCTAGAACAAAAATTTCGACAACCAAGAACCAGTCTGGGTGTCATGATTCATATTATGAACTGACAGACTCAAATTATTGCTCAAACTCAGAGAAAAGCGATAACTTGAATGACTCAAGTAGACCCATGCACTGTGAGAGTTGTAATAACTGTGGTAGGGCAAGATGTAGTGACACTGAAAATCTACCAGTCTTGAACAGAAAGCCACAACATACACTGTAGGCTAGGTATAATTTACTATCACCACATCCAATGAAACGTGAACACATTATTTCAATAACACAGACTTGCAAAGTTTGAAGGGTCCCGATTCGGCACACGGCCTGCACAAACGCGCGCTTTGCAGAAAGCTCTAATCAAAATTTTGAAATGTGCTTCCAAGTTTTTGTCCTCTGGTAATGCCTTCACAACCTCCCCCATAATATCTTAAACCTCCAAAAAATCAATAATCTCCTCCCCTTTTCCGTAGTCCTATACTTCGCAAGGCCGTTACTCCCACCAAAGACGGTCTTTGCTCACACGATGCCTCATTTATTTATGATGCTCATTTATTTATGACACGAATGCGCGCAGGTTCAGTGACCGGTCACGATGGCGAGCCAGACAATCTAAAAATCGGACTACGCTTTATTTTCTTTTTTTTCCACAAGTGAGAGCACAGAGGCGAGTCCGAGCATTGATTAAATTTTATAATTTATTTGCACAGTGACCTTGCCTTTATACTGCACAACCTGCATGTCACAAAAGTTGCGTTATTAGACAACTGCTGGCAAACTACTCAATGGTAACGAAAGCGAAAGTAGATCTTGATTTTCCCAAGCGAGCCTCAGTGTCACATACGCTTCCGCCTGCCGCCATAGCTGCCTATTCGCGTGAAAGTGAAACGTACTCGCCGGACCGGGAGAAGCTGAACGAATATAATATCACGATCGCGACCGGCAAAAATAAACTTGCTAACCACATCGGACTTGGTTTTCAAATATTTCAGTTCTGCGATACTGATACTATTTTGACAAAAGATGGGACTTAAGATAGGTTTACTCAATCTCATATTTTTCGCATTCCAGGATGCGTATTTTTTCATGAAAAGTCGTATTATCGTATTTTCGGCAAAAAATCGTACTAAAATACGTAAAATCGTACTGGATGGCACCTCCGTAATTTGATCGTCTTCAAAGATGCTATGGCTATTTCACTTTTCGAATCGAGCCAATCGAGCCGAACTACGCGGGTCGCCATTTTGTTTTGCCCGGAAATTCTCGCAAGATCTAGGCCTACTCCTTTCCTCTCTCTGTGTCTCTTTCTGAATACTGTCTACGGTGTGGACGATCAAATTGACCAAAACAAAGTTTAAAAATGATGTTAAAAAACAAAACTAAATTAATTTGGTTGTCTACAAAGATGCTACGGCTATTTAACTCTCCGAATCGAGCCGAACTACGCGGGTCGTCATTTTGTTTTGCCCGGAAGTTCTCACGCTACTCCTCTCTCTCTCTCTCCACTGCCCACAGACAAAATTGCACGCTTTTAGGCTAACACTAACAGTAGTAATAGATCTAGAACGTTTGTTCACAGCACAGAATTCTATAATTCTGTTATTACAGTGTAGAATTATGTGGTTCAGGGCGAAGGCTTCACTGGTTGGCCTAGGCTATAACAGTGAACGCCCACCGGGTGAGAATAGCCAAAAGACTCGCCTGCGCTATTCTCACCCGGGGTGAGAATAGAGGTGGCCATTCCATAGACCAGCGCACAATTCATTAAGTAGATCTACGTCAAGACTAGCTTATTATTATTGTAATAATGATCAGTTGCCGGGGGAAAAAAGACTGACGCGTATGCGACGTGCAACACCCGGACCGATAGTGCCCCCTCCCCGACACGCACACAGCCACATGTGTGCAGGCCGCCCATCTGACACCGACACACGCTAGCGAGCCATCTTTAATTGCTTCTGATGACCTCTTGACAAATAAACATTTATTAGAAGCGCATAACTTTTCAGGCCGGCCTCAAATTCATCATAAGATAAAAACTCGGCTCCTGCACAAAACGCCCATTTTTGCCCGAATTGATCACGGTCTCTACCCAGCCTGAGGCGAGTCACAAGTGAGGCAAGACAGAAAGCCGGAGTCACGAGTCACAGGAAATCGGAAGTCGGAAGTGATGTCATGCTGGACAAGAATCAGATTCCGAATAACATTTTTTCATATTCGGACTCCAGTCCAAATAGTCACTTCGTCGGAAGTGGCTATTCTCACCCGGGGTGAGAATAGAAATACGATCGACCTCTCACCCCGGGTGAAACTTGCCACCGTAGGCTATTCTCACATGGTGTGAAACAAGACCTGTTTTTACTAATTTCGGAATACTTTCTATCGATGTGGATGATCAAATGGATAAAGACAAAGAAAAGATTACGTTATAGCACAAAAGTAAGCTAATTTTATCGACTACAAGGATGCTATGGCTATTTCACTTTTCGAATCGAGCCGAACTACGGGAGACGCCATTTTGTTATGCCCGGAAGTTCTCGCAAGATCTACTCCTCCCCTTTTCTCTCTCTCTGTCTGTTTCTGAATACTGTCTATCGGTGTGGACCAAGGAACTTAGAACTAATGGAGCCTCCTCTCTCTCTTCGCGGCGCCGCGAGCAGTACGCCGCGTTGGGGATCAAATATGGCCACCGAGTGTGGGCTAAATCACGAACTGTGGCCTTTCTTTTTATAGAATTTTATCGGGCTGGGCCACGATGTGGGGGTGGGCGGGGTGGGGGAATGCACGCAAGGAAGAGGGGATGGGGCTGGGATGAAAGAGGAGGGGCGGGCCTTGGGAAGGGACGAAGGAGAATGGGAAAAATTAAATAAGAGAGAGAGAGAGAGAGAGAGAGAGAGAGAGAGAGAGAGAGAGAGAGAGATTATGATCAACTGACGGATAATGACAGGGAGAAAAAAATATGTGTGTGATACGGACTGTTCAATTCTTTTGGAGTTTTATGTTATAGATCTAATCTAGTTTAAAAATCAAAAAGATGTGTAAAATAATAAGAAAACTTGTCCGAGTAACATAAAATTATCAAACATATCAAATTAAAAATATAATCTTTCAAGATGCTAAAATATATAATTATAAGAAATGGATGAAAATATACTTTTAAACTGAATTTAAGATATATGATTGCATGATTCTAGGCGTGTGCCATAACTAACTTTATGTGTAAGGAATAGCGGACACAAAAGAGGGTCGATGTTTGCTTTATCTAATTGCTAACAGTATGTCTTGGTCTATAAATAATATTATTGATCACAATAATTTTGTTTCCTGGTTTTCACAAAGTGGAGCGCACAATGATTTCAAATATTCCACACAAAAAAGAGATAACAGCACCCTTGGAGGTGTGATCGCATGCATGAGCGTGGATAACCTTTGAAGGGTTGTTTTTTTCCAGTAAAGTATGATATGGAGAGCAGCGTTTTTAGTCCCTTATTACACTCCAGAGGGGGATAATTTATCTTAGTGATGACTCTTGTGTAGTAAAATTTGTTGTTGCTTTGTTTGGTTTATTTTTTAACAGCAGAATCTTAAGTGAACCGGAATTATTGATTGTGGGATCTTAGGTGAAGACTACAACAATAGAATTAAACCGAGTATAGTTCTATCTAACAAGACTCAAACTCTTATCCACCCCACCCTACCTTCTCCCCTCATCTGATATGGTTTGGTGTTTCTTTAACATAGAAAATATTCATCATTATTGTTGTTGAATATTGATTTCATGTTCTAATGGAGCCTCTAGATATCTACATTTAGACTACAGTAGCATCTAACTTGCACGCACAAAGGAAAGCAATATCTTTAATTAAAATGTATATGTATATACATACACACACATAATAATTATATATATACTCATAATAATTATATATATTTATGAATAAGAATACTTTAAAAAAATTGAGTATCCAAGTCTTTCTGCTGGGGTGTTGTATCCCTTTCAGCCTGGGTTGGCCTTGGCATGTAGCGCCGGGGCCAGCCTCTTATGAATTAATGATTTAAATTGTGTTGCTGGGGGTATAGAAACACTTTCATTCAAATATTTTAAAAGGGAAACAACTTAACTGTGAAAACTTCGGTCCACTGTAGCATCATATCGGTTCTTACACTTAAATACAACACAAGTGCAAGGCATTTTTACTAATTGACTTGCCTAATCTGAAGGACCTCGGAATAGAACCTTCTATCTTATCTAGATTTCAGTGCCATAATAATCGGGCAATCGCGCAGCGCAGGTAGCCCACGGTTCCGCCGCGAGAGAGGGCTCCTATCAGGCGTGCGGTGCCGCCCACAGAGCATCCTCCATTACTTTTAATCTCCTTGGTGTGGACTATCAAATTGACCAAAACAAAGTTTAAAAATGATGGCAAAACACAAAAGTAAATCAATTTGGTCGTCTACAAAGATGCTAAGGCTATTTAACTTTTCGAATCGAGCCGAACTACGCGGGTCGCCATTTTGTTTTGCCCGCAAGTTCTCGCGCTACTCCTCTCTCTTTCTCTCTTCACTGCCCACAGACAAAATTGTACGCTTTTAGTAGGCTACAGTAGTAATGGAACGTTTGTTCACGGCACAGAATTCTACAATTTTTCTGTTACCACAGTGCAGAATTCTGTGGTTTAGGATGAACGCAAAATCGGTTGGCCTAGATCTAGGCTATAACGGTGAACGCGCACCGGGTGAGAATAGCCAAAAGACTCGCCTGCACTATTCTCACCCAGGGTGAGAATAGAGGTAGCCCACTTCGTCTTCAGTAAGGAAGTGGCTATTCTCATCCGGGGTGAGAATAGAAATACAATCGACCTCTCACCCCGGGTGAGACTTGCGACCGTAGGCTATTCTCACCCGGTTTGAAACAAGACCTGTTTTTCCTAATTTCGGAATACTTTCTATCGATGTGGATGATCAAATTGATAAAAGCCAAGAAAAAATTAGGTTATAGCACAAAGTAAGCTAATTTGATCGTCTTCAAAGATGCTATGGCTATTTCACTGTTCGAATCGAGCCGAACTACGCGGGTGTCGCAATTTTGTTTTGACCGGAAGTTCTCGCGCTACTCCTCTCTCTCTCTCTCTCTCCACTGCCCACAGACAAAATTGTACGCTTTTAGTAGGCTACAGTTGTAATGGAACGTTTGTTCACGGCACAGAATTCTACAATTTTTCTGTTATCACAGTGTAGAATTCTGTGGTTTAGGGTGAACGCAAAATTTGTTGGCCTAGATCTAGGCTATAACAGTGAACGCGCACCGGGTGAGAATAGCCAAAAGACTCGCCTGCACTATTCTCACCCCGGGTGAGAATAGAGGTGGCCCTTAAGTAAACACAAAGGCCGTCGTTATTCGGACTCGAGTCTAAATAACATTTTTTCATATTCGGACTCGAGTCCGAATAAAAAAAATTCTTATTCGGACTCGAGTCCGAATATAATGAAAAAATGTTATTCAGACTCTGGTCCGGAAAAAAGGAAGTGTCTTTGTTCTATAGATCTAACATTCAGTGCTTCCAATTTTCCTCCATTTTTTAGTTTCCCCCACACCTTATCTGCCGATCCAATGCCTGCCGCCTCATTGATACGCCCCCTCCCACATTTCCCACTTTCTTTGTTGTAGAAAAAGGTAAAATTGAAGATTAGCAGACCACCTGGCACCTGCATATTATGAGCCTGTGTCATATCGATTGTTTACCAAGAAAAAGTTGTGTTGCTGTGTAGAGCTGAGCATGTATACACGGCAACTTTTGACTCCATAGACCAGCGCACAATTCATTACGTAGATCTACGTCAAGACTAGCTTATTATTGTAATAATGATCAGTTGCCGGGGGAAAAAAGAAAAGACTGACGCGTATGCGACGTTCAAAGCCCGGACCGATAGTGCCCCCCCCCCACCACCCTCCCCGACACGCACACAGCCACACGTGTGCAGGCCGCCCATCCGACCCCGACACACGCTAACGAGCCATCTTTAATTGCTTCTGATGACCTCTTGACAAATTTATAAACATTTATTAGAAGTGTGCTATAACTTTTCAGGCCGGCCTCAAATTCATCATAAGATTAAAACTCGGCTCCTGCACAAAACGTCTTTTTGCCCGAAGTGATCCCGGTCTCTACCCAGCCTGAGGCGAGTCACGAGTGAGGCAGGACAGCAAGCCGGATTCACAAGTCACAGGGAAGTCGGAAGTGATGTCATGCTGGACAAGAATCAGGGCACTACTTGGATATGGTGGTCCCGACTTGTGTAGGCCTAGATATCTAGATCTACTGAAATATATCGATACTGATTTAAATAGTCGGTATCAATGTTGTATGTTTTATCAGTAGCCTAGATCTAGATCTAAATCCAGCCTGCAAAATGAGCTGTAAAATTTCACTTGTTTTTCACAAGGCCCGGGGGGTTGCCCCCCTGACTTAAAAAAACAAAACAAGGGGTGTTTCAGGGGGGCATTCCCCCATGAATTGGACCACGATTTGATGTTTTGCAATTTAATAAGGTTTGAAAGGCTATCTCTCCATATCGGCACGCAAATCGAAAAGTAATCGTTTAGACTTAGAACCAGAAGTAATCGTCATTGGGGTCAAAACTAGATTTTAGAATATCCCTGTCACAAAAGTCGGGACCACCATATCCAAGTAGTGCCAGAATCAGAGTCCGAATAACATTTTTTCATATATATTCGGACTCGAGTCCGAATAATCACTTCGAAACACAAACACCGGAAACCAGTGGGTGGGTGAAAGTGGCTATTCTCACCCGCCCGGAAGTTCTCGCAAGATCAACTCCTCCCCTCTTCTCTCTCTCTCCGTCTCTTTCTGAATACTGTCTATCGGTGTGGACGATCAAATTGACCAAAACAAAGTTAAAAAATGATGTTAAAACACAAAAGTAAATAAATTTGGTTGTCTACAAAGATGCTACGGCTATTTAACTTTTCGAATCGAGCCGAACTACGCGGGTCGCAATTTTGTTTTGACCTCTCTCTCTTTCTCTCTCTCTCTCCACTGCCCACAGACAAAATTGTACGCTTTTAGTAGAGTAGGCTACAGTTGTAATGGAACGTTTGTTCACGGCACAGAATTCTACAATTTTTCTGTTATCACAGTGTAGAATTCTGTGGTTTAGGGTGAACGCAAAATTTGGTGAACGCGCACCGGGTGAGAATAGCCACAAGACTCGCCTGCACTATTCTCACTCCGGGTGAGAATAGAGAGAGGTGGCCTGGGGTGGGTAAAAGTGTGCAGGAATCACTAGTTTCACAAACACCTTTCCTTGGACAAAGGGTACATCATGTTGTTTTTGGATTTTTTCAATCCGCTATTATAGAGCTACTGCTAGATCTAGATCTAGATCTAGATCTAGAAATATACCAGGCATCATAAAAGCCAACGGCCAACCAAGCCCCCAAACAAGGCTGTCAAAGCAACCACAAAACCCCGCTTGCCAAGCCAAGCTAACTCATCTCCAGCCTGTCTTGCTCCAAATATAAACTTTTTCTTGGCACAACAGATAGCCTGGCGTTGAAACCCTTTATAAACGTTACCATATTTCAAAAACAAACCTGTCCATCGGCATTTTCAGCGTTTCCCTCAGCAACATTATTTGTGTTCCCTTGAACCACGGTGCCACTGTCGTCAGCCATGTTGAATTATTACAACTACAAATATTACTTGCCACAGAGGGAAACACTATTGCCAGATATTACCAACGAGACAGACAAGCCTTGCAGTGCAGTTCCTTTACACGCAGTGGAAAAGTGAAATAACTAAGAATTTAACCCCAAAGAAGCCAATAATGGGTCTTTCTGGCCACTATGACTGACCCAATATACAGCATTTACAGCCTTTTACCTCTTTTTTCAATATAACATTGAAATTCAAGGGCTTGGTTTCAAATTTGATAACTGTGACCAAAGGGACAGTATAGGAAAAAAGTCTGGTTCGTTTAACAAGACACACGTCATTCTTTAGGCTACGATCGAGGCGTTTGCAAATGAAATGCAACTAAAGACAAGTTCGTGTATGTTCAAAATGAAATGATACTTGGAGCAGCAAATGATGCCATTATGGGTTTTGGGAAACTCTTGGTCTTCTGAAAATTGAGGACTTTAACCATTTAAATCCCAATTGACTATAACTTGCTGGCCAAAACAACATCAAAAAGAATAACGTGTTATAAAATAGGAATATTTTTTATTCATCAAAACAATTTATACAATTCTCATCTTTCTGTCCCAAAATAAGCTATGTTTTTTCAGGAGTCATTCAGAAGAAATCCAGCTTCTGGTGACATATATCAACACGTTAGTGTTTAGTTTATTTATTTATTTATCAATTTATTTAGGCCTAGGCCTATATTTATATATATTTAATTTTCTTTTGTCATACTTAAAACCAATTGTTGTTTGTTTTGTATTGATTCTGTCTTTCGAGATAAATAATTATATGTTTGTGTTTTTTGCAGGGTCTTTTAATGTTTTTGTTTTTGTTTTTAATTTTTAAAGGAGGACGGCACAACGGTGTTTGATGTGCTGCTCCTGTAATAATGATTTCAGACACACCCTCCACGCTGCATATTACAGTGATCGCGATCTCAACGCGTTTTTACCTGATTTCATCGCTTTTACACCTAATCGCTCTCGGAGTTCAGCGCGCATGCAGTGGTTTTCCTTGGAAGTTACTTCAAAGTCAAAGAGTATATCGAACTTTAATTTGAAAGCTGAATCATAATCGAACACAGATTCGAACACATATTTCGAGTGCCAGATTGTTAGACATGCGCTTGTATCATAGATGTACAGAGATAACTCTATGGCTTATATTATACATTGTAGTACATGTAATATTAATGTGATAATAGATCAGATCAAACAAACAAACATACATACAGACAAACAAAACGAACAAAAGTAACTGAGTGCAAAATATGGGAGCTGCGAGCTCTCCAGCCATTATGATCAACTGCCAGCAAGACTGCCCGGCCATTCATTATGTAAAGTGTGAAGAGAAAAATAACCGCTGCTAGGTATAACATGTACCCGGTACCCCAGAGGTCGAATTGCATGGACTGGTATTGTATCATGACATCAGGGGGCATATTATGTTTTGCAATAGGTATTAGTAGGAGGGCGTCAGGCGCGGTTTGTCCATAGAGCACGGTCGTGCAGTGCCGCCCAAAATGTTGATTTTTTATAAATGTTCTATTACGTAAAACACCCGCAATAATAAAATAAAAGAAGCCAGAAACAAACACTAGCCAAATATTATATCAAAACAAGGTCCTCACTGGCACCATAACTGTCATTTCTGTGTCTATAGCACCGTAAAACATCTACAGTGCCATGCCAAAGTCCACGCGCTTTAGCTAAACATAATAGGATATTCAACAGTGTAACCTGACCTATAAATCGCTCTTGGGATGACGACACTCGTAGCGAGTTTGGCGACACATTAATATTAATAAGATGGCACATCTCAAATGTGCTCCTGCCGAATAGTGCCGAAACATAGCCCACAGTAGGCTGTCTAAAAATAAACGCGATAGACCGTACGCTATTCTTTGTCAATATTATGTGACCCCCGGAGCAATTCAGCGGAGTGCTCAAGTGAATTGTGATTGGTTCATTGTCTGTCTTGCCACTATTTTAAGTGACTCAGTGACCGTGAACCTGAGGGAGGTGAACGTGACTGTGCTATGAGTTGTGCCTTTGAAAGGTTTTGTAGTGGAGTAGTGAAAGTTATTACTTGCGTGTTCAGTTCCAATACAGAATGAATGAAATTGATGGTTAGCTAACAAACAAATTTAGTACTATTAAATCAAAGCGGCAAGTAAAAAGATTGAAAATAAAAGCACGAGGTCCTCCCTCACCAACCCAAAGATCCTAAAATTATACACCGTCTCATTTACTATGCCCTTGGCCCTTGACTATCTTCAGCATGAGATAGCTTAATTGTGCACGTCCACTTTTTAGCCTCACGAGCCGCCCCTGGAGGGCGTATAGGAGCCCACGTTACCGGAGCTGGAAGATTTCGGAAAAACACTTATTATTATAGTAACTCTCGCTGTTTATCACAGTAGCAGTGTGTAATTTGAATGTCATAAGCAACATATCGAAGATCTAACTGCATTTTTTTTCCGGTCGCAGCTTAGAAATTGATTATATTCATCATCATCATCATCATCATCATCATCATCATCATCATCATCATCATCATCATCATCATCATCATCATCACCATCATCATCTGGTGCCTTGCCGACTGGCGTGGGCGATCATATTGGACCTCCGTTTCACTCTGTCTTGCGTTGCAGCGATGGTGACTGTCGTTCTTGCTATTCCCAGCTATGTTGTCAACTTGTCCAGTATCTTTTCCCTCTGTCTGCCTCTACCTCTCTTTCCATCAAACTTGCCTGTTAATTGTTACAGTATTCTCCAATGCTTCTTTCCGCATTGTGTGCCCAATGAAATTTTCCTGTCGCTTTCGTATATTCGTCATAAGCTGTAGTCTGCAATTTGCTTCAACCAAGACTATATATACATTATGACATATACATTTGGTGGCAATAGACCGCCATTCTGACATGGATGCTATCGCGGTGTTTTTGGCCTGGGCCTGGGCCCTCTGATCCCTAGTTAGCTTGGGACTGCGAAGCTCTGGTGGTACCTAAAGGCAGTGTTGTCCTTTAAGATGGATGGCATGGTATTCTGACAACCTTCTGTGGCTAGATACTAATCTCATTGTCTTGTCTTTATTTTGTCTTCAGATTCTTGTGCCCTGCCGAGTGGGTGAGCCTGATTTTGCGCCGTTCTTTCTCCCTTTAGCTTTGCTCAAGTCAAACTTCTGTCCTTATTTATTTATTCTGTTCCCTTGACACTGGCTTCAAATGCCCACATCGATGCAAAAATTATAGCTCTACATTTAAACAAAGCTACCGCATTGGAAGACTGATAGCAAGGCCTTTGAGACAGCCGTGGCATTCGCACAGAGACAAAGTTGAAAGTCTGCAATTCTGCTGCCCTTCCAACCGTGCTGTACTGTACTGGGACCTGGACAGTGTACCAAGGCCATGGCAGCGACTTAAATTTACTATTTCCGCATGAAATGACTTTGGAGAATTATTGGCATCAAATGGCAGAACAAAATATAAGATTGTTAAACCGCGAACGTTAAAATTAATTCACATGAAATAGTGCATAGAGCGCGATTGGAAACAAAAGTATGCTATTATCTCTAGTATTATTTATAATGTTAAGCAGGACATATACTCAAACTGAGAATCAAGATGAGTGAATTAAGTCTGATTTCATACACTTGTAAAAGATAGGCCAACCACCCTCTTCTTCATGCATGTGAGATCTGAAGCAGACTTCGGCGATTATGGATCGCAGTTATATTGGTGTATTCTTTGCTCCGATGCTCTTAAAAAACAATAACAATGACAAAACAAAAACAAAAAACAGACTCACCCCCCCCCAGCCTCCCCCTCGCCCCAAAACAACAACAACATACAAACCCAACAACAAACAAACAAACAAACAGGCATCTGTCTTACGGGGGTTTATTTATTGTTAACTTGGTCTCTCCCCATCACCCATCTGTTCAGGTTCACTAAAAAAAATAAGTAATTGCTCTAGGTCTTCTCTTGTTTCATAAAATTTTGACTTGTATACTCATTCCGGTGAGAGCATGATGATCAAGGCTTTTAAGTCGATTCAAGTGTCCCAGGAACCTCAACGGTCTCTTCCTAAACTGTTTTCATTTGTTGCTCCTTTCAACACTACGTCTTCGTTTGGTTTCTTTTCCTTTTACGAAATTCTCAACAGTGTCATAAGAAAGCAGCCAGACTATAGTTCTATCTTTCTATTGCTTATATTCTATCTCCACTGTACCATTTTGGCTGTCATTGAGATACAGGAAACAGGCATTTCTGTTTTTTCAATACGGGACTCATTTTTATCGAAATAGACTTTAGCTATATAGCAGTTCTTCTTTTAATTTCTGTAGAGCATTTGATGTGGTGTGGTTAGCCTATTATATCCTTCAAATTCAATGTGATGAACTTGTTTGATCACTTGCTTATGAGATTGCAAATAAGATTTACTGCACTTTCAAATTAGATACTACTACCTATGTATTTTGTTTTATTCACATTTAAGAATAATACGCCCCATAAATTCATCTTCCGTAACAACATAATATCTGTAAGAAGCAATCGCAGGTCATTTTCTGATTCTGCACCTAAAACTGTGTCATCGTTAAAAATCTGATATTACCAATTATATATTCCCCTTTCACCCTGAGACCTGGACTTTCTTTTTTTATTGTAAGGATTGTTTCACTTAAAGAAAGGTAGTATTCAGGAGGAAAAAACCAAAGGTGACCACCCTGATTAGCCGAAAAGGCCCACATAAAACCAGGCACAAAAGGCCAAGTTACCATTTTAAGTAGCTTTACTTTGTGATAAAAGTAACGATTTTTTTCGGAGGGGGGGGGG